TTTCATGCCCCCATAAGGCCGGGTGTCCAAGGCAATGCGTGCAACGGTCGGAGCCAGAGCCCCGACAACGGTCGGAGCCAGAGCCCCGACAACGGCCGGAGCCAGAGCCCAGACAACGGTCGGAGCCAGAGCCCCGACAACGGTCGGAGCCAGAGCCCCGACAACGGTCGGAGCCAGAGCCCCGACAACGGTCGGAGCCAGAGCCCCGACAACGGTCGGAGCCAGAGCCCCGACAACGGTCGGAGCCAGAGCCCCGACAACGGTCGGAGCCAGAGCCCCGACAACGGTCGGAGCCAGAGCCCCGACAACGGTCGGAGCCAGAGCCCCGACAACGGTCGGAGCCAGAGCCCCGACAACGGTCGGAGCCAGAGCCCCGACAACGGTCGGAGCCAGAGCCCCGACAACGGTCGGAGCCAGAGCCCCGACAACGGTCGGAGCCAGAGCCCCGACAACGGTCGGAGCCAGAGGGAGATGGAAATAAGGTCACATGCCCTTATCGATCATGGTGTCAATCGCGGGGAAATCCTAACTTGTGGGAAGATAAGAACTGAATATTCTACTCAAACCCCAGAAAAGAGTAACTCGATTGATGCGGTGCAGGGCGTAGTGACAAGGTCCCAGTTTTGGGGTGGGGACAAACTTAAGGCACCTCTTAAGGTCCTAACATGCCCAAATAATACATCGGTCACGACAGAAGAGTTAAAAGCAGCACAAAAACGTGATCCAACTTTGAAGCGAGCCCGGGAATTGGCTACGAAGGGAGTGGAAATCAATACAGGCACTTCAAATATCTGAAGTTTCCTTTTTAAAAAAGGATTGTTGTATCGTCATTTCCACTCTCCGTCATTAGAATTTGGGAGGACTTTTAAACAACTGGTGGTGCCATCAGCTTTTCGTTATGAATGAAGCTGGGGCATGACTCAATCCTTGCAAGCCATTTGGGTACCCAGAAAACTATCAATAATATTTTTACCCAGTTTTATTGGCCAGCAATGCATGAACAAATTAAAAGATATTGCCGATCATGCGACATTTGTCAACGTACCATCCCAAAAGGGAAAATAGGGCAGGTCCCTCTTGGTACAATGCCATTAATGGATGTACCATTTAAAAGGGTGGCGATGGATCTTGTAGGGCCCATCAAACCAGCCACTTCAAAGGGTCATCAATATATCTTAACTGTGGTCGATTACGCAACACCTTACCCAGAGGCTACACCTCTGAAACGGATTTCAACAGAAGTTGTAGCTGAGGCATTATTCACTATACATTATAGAGTAGGATTTCCAGAACAAGTACTCACAGACCAGGGTACAGTTTGTGAGTGATGTGATGAGGGAGGTCAGTAGGCTGTTGTCAATCAAGCAGCTAACCACTACCCCATATCACACTCAATGCAATGGCCTTGTAGAGCGTTTTAACGCCAATTTAAAGGGCATGCTCAAGCGCATGTGTCGTGAACGCCCGAAAGATTGGGATCGATATATAGCACCTTTGTTGTTTGCGTACCGCGAGGTTCCTCAGGCTAGTTTAGGCTTTTCCCCCTTCGAACTATTGTATGGCAGGACCGTAAGAAGCCCTATGACCATATTTAGAGAATTGTGGACAGGGGAGGCTACCAGTCCTGAACTTCTCAATACCTATGAGTATGTGCTTAATCTGAGAAATCGATTAGAAACTACTTGTCAGATAGCACAGCAGGAACTAACAAAGTCAAGTGAGAGGTATAGATCGCATTTCGACAAAAAACTAAACCTCGGAAGTTTGAAGTTGGCGACCATGTTTTGCTTTTGCTACCCACCTCTGCAGACAAATTGCGTATACAATGGCAAGGACCATATGAAATTAAAGAGCGGGTAGGGCAGGTGGACTATCGCATAGACAAAAATGGTAAACTGAAGTTGTATCATATCAACATGTTAAAAAAAGTATGAGGAAAGAAAGAGTTTGGATAACTGTGAGAAAGATTCTATCACACATCCACAAGTGAATACTGCAGGGCTATTAACATGCGTATCTACTGGCATGGTTGTAACTCCACCAGATGACCAGAGAGAGGATGGTCCTGAATGTCGGTCTCCTGACATAATAGAATTTGTGCCCTTTTTAGGGGAGGAGACAATTTAAGATGTGCATTTAGGCCCAGGTCTCTTGGAGAGTCAGGTAATGGAAATCAAATTAATTTTGAGAAAGTTTACAAAAACTTTAACAGACTTGCCCGGACAGTCGAAGGTTGGGTGCCATGATATAAAGTTGACGACAGATCAACCAATCAAGTGCTAGGCATATGCAAACCCCTTCGCAAACCCCTTCGTCATTCAGGAAGTGGAAGATATGTTAAAGATGGGCATCATAGAACGGTCAGATTCACCCTATGCTGCTCCTATTGTCTTGATTAAGAAAAAAGACGGAAAGATTAGTTTTTGTACAGACTTCCGTCGCCTTAATCAAATAACCGTATTCCATGCCAAACCAATGCCTAACCCTGAGGAGTTATTCACCAATCTTGCTGAGGTCGATACTTGACAAAACTTGACTTGACCAAGGGTTTTTGGCAAATACCCTTGACCCCTGGGTCAAAACCTAAAACTGCTTTTCTCACTCCACTTGGGTTGTTCCAGTATAGGGTTATGCCCTTTGGCTTGGTCAATAGCCCCAGTACGTTCTCGAGAATGATGAGGTTATTCTCGGGGGTATGCATGGAAAGGTCGTAAATCTGGTAGACGATATATTGATATACAATAAACAATGGGAAGATAATGTGTGCACCCTTGTTGAGGTTCTACAGCGTCTTCAAGAGGCTGGTTTAACAGTTAAACCATCAAAATGTTATATTGGTTTTTCTCAACTTGAATTTGTCGGCCACGTCGTAGGGCATGGTGAGTTGTGGACCATGCCCAGTAAAATCAATGCCATGCAAAATACGCGAAGACCAGAAACAGTTACCCAAGTAAGGGCCCTGCTACGATATGCGGGATATTATCGCCAATTTGTACCCAATTTCACAGCTATCGCCGCTCCTTTGTACGATCTAACCCGAAAAGGTCTGTCGAAAAAAGTAATTTGGGAGAAGGTTCATCAGCTCGCCTTTGAACAACTAAAACATGCTCTTAGCAATCCCCCATTCCTTAAATTGCCAGACTGTAATCGTACATTTGTTCTGAGAACTGATGCTGCTGCTGAAGTGGGGCTAGGGGCGGTTCTGCTTCAATATTACGATGAAGTAGCCTTTCCTGTGGCATTTGCAAGCCGAAAACTAACTAAAGCAGAGGTAAATTCGGCGGTAATAGAGAAGGAATGTCTTGCGTTAATATGGGGCCTGCGAAAATTTCAACAGTACCTTCACACTGCTAGTTTCTGGATTGAAACCGATCACAAACCACTGATATATATGAAAAGTGCAAAATTTACTAATAGCAGGGTTATGAGATGGGCGTTGTATATGCAATCATTTTCATATCGAATTATAGCAATTAAAGGTAGTCACAATATAGGGGCGGATTACCTTAGTAGGAGTTCGGACAAAGGTATTTTGGGTTAAATTAAATATCAATTGCTTTAGAATAGAACTTGTGGGTGTTGGCATAATCATGGTCTATGATTATGACTTGGCATAGGGGTATATCACAAGGTTCGTTATGGTATACATGTTGGGTTAAATTTAGGGTTTGGCCAAAAGGTATATTATAGTACAGCCAGAGGTAGGATTATTTCACAGCCGAGCTTTGAAACACTTACACACCCCAAAACTCCATTCATAAAGAGACGCGTGCCATACGTGTGCCGGCTATTGATTACAGACACCGGTTAAGTGACTACCAAGAATGATAGCACCAGTGTATTGTGTAAGAAAATTCCAACTATGTTCAGTTGCCATGACAATGATTCCAGGTGGGGGACGTTATAAAAGGTCAAGGTAGACGCAGCCGCGGGAGAGAACATTAAGAACTGATGAGGCAGCGACAGCAACCGGAGCCAGCCTTGTGTTGTGAGTGAACTAGGAGAGTTAGTTCATCCCCACGTGGTGTGCAAGCTACTCGCCTAGTCGACGGACGTTGTGTAGATACAGTGGAAGACTGGACTCCTTTTCTACGTGCTGTTCCATGGAACTTTTGTGTTCGACACGAATCCTACAAGGTATCCTACGAGAAACCAGGCCTGAGTATCGAACTGAATCTACATGTAGCAACGTTTCTACTATAACCCGACAGAAGCCGGTAATTATCACGCTCATTACACGCACATTAGGCTAGGGACCATTGGCTGTGTTTTGAATGTATTTTGGTAACTATTTGGCTAATTTAGTGGTTAAATTATTGTATTCTTATTTGAAATTGTAACAGTATTAGTTTAATTGTATTTTGTGACAGCCCGTTTCCTGCTCCAACGTTTCGCGCGCACGTCGGCGCAGTTAAGTAGCGGCGTCGTTCCATACGTAAAAGGTGCATTGCCTATTGTGAATCAACCCGGTTTCGGGTTGAGTAAACTGGTTATTCATGGGACGCCACTGCTTTATCCTGCCCTGACATGCGTGTTAATTTTTCCTATTGTACAGCGACCTATATCTTTGTTACGTTGATTCATATCAGCGAATTCTGTGTATCATAACCGGTTGTACAATTAAACCATCCTTTACGATATTACTGTGCATTTAATTGTGTGCGAGTGGGTCTGGTACTACAATAAGTTGTACAGGGAACAATCCAGGCATTAGCTGGCTTATTTTCGATATTTCAATCAGTAGGGTGTCAAAGAACCCACAACACGAGGTGAAGGCGTGCCTCTTGTCACTTTGTGGTCGGATGCTAGCCTACCCCGTGACAAATGGTGTCAGAAGTGGGATCTGCTTTATGATAAAACAAAACAAATATTGTTAAGCAGATAATTATCGGTGCGAGGAAAATCATTTTAACTTAAAACCTGCCAGCTTACGCGATTGATTCCCTGACCAGTCTCACACGGGCACATTGTGAATAGCGATTTAATAATAAGTGTACATTATGGCAACAAACGTTATCACAACGCCAACGGGACGGGGTAGAATACTATCGCCTTCATTTCGGGACATTGCTCCTAGTACTGTCGGCGAAATTAGACAACAGGGCGAGGAATTGGGTTATCAGGGGGCAGATTTAGATAAATATGTCCGTTCTACATTTAAACAAATGCAAGACCAAGAACGAACTGAACGTTTGGCTCAAAGAGAAAGGGACCACAAGGAACGTTTGGCTGAAAGAGAAAGCCAAGCGCGTTTGGTCGAAAAAGAACTGGAACTGACAAGGCTAAAAATGGAAATGTTCAAAACGGGACAATCTACATCTGAATCCAAAACCTCTCCCTTTTCAATTAAAATTAAAGCCCCTCCTGATTTTGTGCAAGGAGATGACATGGATGTGTATATAAGGCGTTTTGAAATATTTGCTAATAATTGCCAATGGAGCCAAGATGTATGGGGGGTCGCATTTAGTGGGCAGTTGTCGGGGAAGGCATTGGCTATATATAATGCATTGGATGTTGAGCAGACTAAGGATTGGGCGAGTGTGAAATGCGCTATGCTAAAAGCATACAATCTTACCGAGGAAGGGTATAGGGAGAAATTTAGACAATCTAGACCTGCTAAGTTTGAAACGGCTACCCAATTTGTCGTTAGGCTAAAACATTATTTGGCACGATGGGTTGAACTGTCTGGCATTGAAAATACAGCGGAGGCATTAATAGATTTAATTGCACAGGAGCAATACCTGTCCACTTGCAGTTATGAAGTTGTGATGCATGTCAGAGAGCATGCGTGCAATACTGTGGGTGAGATGGCTACCTGTGTTGATCGTCGTGATGAAAGTCGACACTACACTGGTATGAACCATAAAACACCGCGTGTAGAAAAAACATCCAAAAATACTAGTCAGTTACCCAGTCGTGCACAGGGCTTAGAAGCGACAGGGGGTCAACAGTCAAAATGTAAACCAGTATGCCATCGGTGTGGTAAGCTGGGGCACATGAAGACTAAATGCTGGTCAACACGTGATGCTAAAGGCAACATATTGACAGTTGGGGCATGCATGAATACTCGTAGCGTCCTTAATGCCTCATCTGACAAATCTACTGTGGCTAATAGGGCAAGTACCTCGGTGCTGATCACCGAGGGCAAACAGATGCAAATGACTAAAATTGGAGATAAGGTTCTGCCTGTGCCTGCTATGATGGGGATTGGTATCAGTGAGGTGGCTGAGACTATATCCATGCCTATTGCAGTGGGCACAGTGAATGGTCATAAGGTGAGTGTTCTCCGTGACACTGGTTGTAGTGGGGTAACAGTACGAACTAGTTTGGTGCACCCATCGCAAATGAGTGACGAGGAGGGCACTTGCATATTAATTGACGGTTCTAGAATTAGAACAGGTATAGCAGAGTTGGAAGTCCAAACGCCTTACTACACTGGACCTGTGAGAGCACTCTGTTTCAAATCTCCAATATGGGATCTGGTTATCGGTAACATAGAGGGCGCTAGGGAACCCTTTAACCCCGACCTAGGTCAAGATGGAGGGAGGTCGAACATGGTGAACAATCGTTATTTGTATAGGGGAACCCCATGTAATGAAACAGTGTCAGAGTTACAGAGACACAATAAGGCAGGGAGGCAGTTTCATGCCCCCATAAGGCCGGGTGTCCAAGGTAAGGCGTGCAATGGTCAGAGCCAGAGCCCCGACAATGGTCAGAGCCAGAGCCCCGACAATGGTCAGAGCCAGAGCCCCGACAATGGTCAGAGCCAGAGCCCCGACAATGGTCAGAGCCAGAGCCCCGACAATGGTCAGAGCCAGAGCCCCGACAATGGTCAGAGCCAGAGCCCCGACAATGGTCAGAGCCAGAGCCCCGACAATGGTCAGAGCCAGAGCCCCGACAATGGTCAGAGCCAGAGCCCCGACAACGGTCAGAGCCAGAGCCCCGACAACGGTCAGAGCCAGAGCCCCGACAACGGTCAGAGCCAGAGCCCCGACAACGGTCAGAGCCAGAGCGAGATGGAAATAAGGTCACATGCCCTTACTGATCATGGTGTTAATCGCGGGGAAATCCTAACTTGTGGGGAGATAAGAACTGAATATTCTACCCAAACCCCAGAAAAGAGTAACTCGATTGATGCGGTGCAGGGCGTTGTGACAAGGTCCCAGTTTTGGGGTGGGGACAAACTCAAGGCACCTCTTAAGGTCCTAACACGCCCAAATAATACATTGGTCACGACAGAAGAGTTAAAAGCAGCACAAAAACGTGATCCAACTTTGAAGCGAGCCCGGGAATTGGCTACGAAGGGAGTGGAAATCAATACAGGCACTTCAAATATCTGTCGTTTCCTTTTTAAAAAAGGATTGTTGTATCGTCATTTCCACTCTCCGTCATTAGAATTTGGGAGGACTTTTAAGCAACTGGTGGTGCCATCAGCTTTTCGTCTGGAAGTTATGAAGCTGGGGCATGACTCAATCCTTGCAGGCCATTTGGGTACCCAGAAAACTATCAATAAGATTTTTACCCAGTTTTATTGGCCAGCAATGCATGAACAAATTAAAAGATATTGTCGATCATGCGACATTTGTCAACGTACCATCCCAAAAGGGAAAATAGGGAAGGTCCCTCTTGGTACAATGCCATTAATAGATGTACCATTTAAAAGGGTGGCGATGGATCTTGTAGGGCCCATCAAACCAGCCACTACAAAGGGTCATCAATATATCTTAACTGTGGTCGATTACGCAACTCGTTACCCAGAGGCTACACCTCTGAAACGGATTTCAACAGAAGTTGTAGCTGAGGCATTATTCACTATATATTGTAGAGTAGGATTTCCAGAACAAGTACTTACAGACCAGGGTACACAGTTTGTGAGTGATGTGATGAGGGAGGTCAGTAGGCTGTTGTCAATCAAGCAGCTAACCACTACTCCATACCACCCTCAATGCAATGGCCTTGTAGAGCGTTTTAACGCCACTTTAAAGGGCATGCTCAAGCGCATGTGTAGCGAACGCCCGAAAGATTGGGATCGGTATATAGCACCTTTGTTGTTTGCGTACCGCGAGGCTCCTCAGGCTAGTTTAGGCTTTTCCCCCTTCGAACTATTGTATGGCAGGACCGTAAGAGGCCCTATGACCATACTTAGAGAATTGTGGACAGGGGAGGCTACCAGTCCTGAAGTCCTCAATACCTATGAGTATGTGCTTAATCTGAGAAATCGATTAGAAACTACTTGTCAGATAGCACAGCAGGAACTAACAAAGTCAAGTGAGAGGTATAGATCGCATTTCGACAAAAAAACTAAACCTCGGAAGTTCGAAGTTGGTGACCAGGTTTTGCTTTTGCTACCCACCTCTGCAGACAAACTGCGTATGCAATGGCAAGGTCCATATAAAATTAAAGAGCGGGTAGGGCAGGTGGACTATCGCATAGACAAAAATGGTAAACTGAAGTTGTATCATATCAACATGTTAAAAAAGTATGAGGAAAGGAGTTTTGACAACTGTGAGAAAGATTCTATCACACGTTCAGAAGTGGGTACTGCAGGGCTATTAACATGCGTATCTACTGGCATGGTTGTAACCCCACCAGATGATCAGAGAGGATGGTCCTGAATGTCGGTCTCCTGACATAATAGAATTTGTGCCCCTTTTAGGGGAGGAGACAATTGAAGATGTGCATTTAGGCCCAGATCTCTTGGAGAGTCAGGTAATGGAAATCAAATTAATTTTGAGAAAGTTTACAAAAACTTTAACAGACTTGCCTGGACAGTCGAAGGTTGGGTGCCATGATATAAAGTTGACGACAGATCAACCAATCAAGTGCAAGGCATATGCAAACCCCTTCGCAACCCAGAAGTTGGTCATTAAGGAAGTGGAAGATATGTTAAAGATGGGCATCATAGAACGGTCAGATTCACCCTATGCTGCTCCTATTGTCTTGATTAAGAAAAAAGACGGAAAGATTCGTTTTTGTACAGACTTCCGTCGTCTTAATCAAATAACCGTCTTCGATGCCGAACCAATGCCTAACCCTGAGGAGTTATTCTCCAATCTTGCTGAGGGTCGATACTTGACAAAACTTGACTTGACCAAGGGTTTTTGGCAAATACCCTTGACCCCTGGGTCAAAACCTAAAACTGCTTTTCTCACTCCACTTGGGTTGTTCCAGTATAGGGTTATGCCCTTTGGCTTGGTCAATAGTCCCAGTACGTTCTCGAGAATGATGAGGGTTATTCTCGGGGGTATGCATGGAAAGGTCGTCAATCTGGTAGACGATATATTGATATACAATAAACTATGGGAAGATCATGTGTGCACCCTTGTTGAGGTTCTACAGCGTCTTCAAGAGGCTGGTTTAACAGTTAAACCATCAAAATGTTATATTGGTTTTTCCCAACTTGAATTTGTCGGCCACGTCGTAGGGCATGGTGAGTTGCGGACCATGCCCAGTAAAATCAATGCCATGCAAAATGCGCGAAGACCAGAAACAGTTACCCAAGTAAGGGCCCTGCTAGCATATGCGGGATATTATCGCAAATTTGTACCCAATTTCACAGCTATCGCTGCTCCTTTGTACGATCTAACCCGAAAAGGTCTGCCGAAAAAAGTAATTTGGGAGATGGTTCATCAGCTCGCCTTTGAACAACTAAAACATGCTCTTAGCAATCCCCCAATCCTTAAATTGCCAGACTTTAATCGTACATTTGTTCTGAGAACTGATGCTGCTGAAGTGGGGCTAGGGGCGGTTCTGCTTCAATATTACGATGAAGTAGCCTTTCCCGTGGCATTTGCAAGCCGAAAACTAACTAAAGCAGAGGTAAATTATGCGGTAATAGAGAAGGAATGTCTTGCGTTAATATGGGGCCTGCGAAAATTTCAACAGTACCTTCATACTGCTAGTTTCTGGATTGAAACCGATCACAAACCACTGATATATATGAAAAGTGCAAAATTTACTAATAGCAGGATTATGAGATGGGCGTTGTATATGCAATCATTTTCATATCGAATTATAGCAATTAAAGGTAGTCACAATATAGGGGCGGATTACCTTAGTAGGAGTTCAGACAAAGGTATGTTGGGTTAAATTAAATATCAATTGCTTTAGAATAAAACTTGTGGGTGTTGGCATAATCATGGTCTATGATTACGACTTGGTATGGGGGTATGTCACAAGGTTCGTGATGGTATACATGCCGGGTTAAATTTAGGGTTTGGAGAAAAGGTATATTAAAATACAGCCAGAGGTAGGATTATTTCACAGCCGAGCTAGTAGACTTTGAAACACTTACACACCCCAAAACTCCATTCATAAAGAGACGCGTGTCATACGTGTGCCGGCTATTGATTACAAACACCGGTTAAGTGACTACCAAGAATGATAGCACCAGTGTATTGTGTAAGCAGATTCCAACTATGTTCAGTTGCCATGACAATGATTCCAGGTGGGGGACGTTATAAAAGGTCAAGGTAGACGCAGCCGCGGGAGAGAACATTAAGAACTGAGGCAGCGACAGCAACCGGAGCCAGCCTTGTGTTGCGAGTGAACGGGGAGAGTTAGTTCATCCCCATGTGGTGTGCAAGCTACTCGCTTAGTCGACGGACGTTGTGTAGATACAGTGGAAGACTGGGCTCCTTTTCTACGTGCTGTTCCACGGAACTTTTGTGTTCGACACGAATCCTACAAGGTATCCTACGAGAAACCAGGCCTGAGTATCGAACTGAATCTACATGTAGCAACGTTTCTACTATAACCCGACAGAAGCCGGTAATTATCACGCTCATTACACGCACATTAGGCTAGGGACCATTGGCTGTGTTTTGAATGTATTTTGGATAACTATTTGGCTAATTTAGTGGTTAAATTATTGTATTCTTATTTGAAATTGTAACAGTATTAGTTTAATTGTATTTTGTGACAGCCCGTTTCCTGCTTCAACGTTTCGCGCGCACGTCGGCGCAGTTAAGTAGCGGCGTCGTTCCATACGTAAAAGGTGCATTGCCTATTGTGAATCATCCCGGTTTCGGGTTGAGTAAACTGGTTATTCATGGGACGCCACTGCTTTATCCTGCCCTGACATGCGTGTTAATTTTTCCTATTGTACAGCGACTTGTATCTTTGTTACGTTGATTCATATCAGCGAATTCTGTGTATCATAACCGGTTGTACAATTAAACCATCCTTTACGATATTACTGTGCATTTCATTGTGTGCGAGTGGGTCTGGTACTATAATAAGTTGTACAGGAGACAATCCAGGCATCAGCTGGCTTATTTTCGATATTTCAATCAGTAGGGTGTCAAAGAACCCACAACACGAGGTGAAGGCGTGCCTCTTATCACTTTGTGGTCGGATGCAAGCCTACCCTGTGACAAATGGTGTCAGAAGTGGGATCTGCTTTATGAAAAACAAAACAAAAATTGTTAAGCAGATAATTATCGGTGCGAGGAAAATCATTTTAACTTAAAACCTGCCAGCTTACGCGATTGATTCCCCGACCAGTCTCACACGGGCACATTGTGAATAGCGATTTAATAATAAGTGTACATTATGGCAACAAACGTTATCACAACGCCAAAGGGACGGGGTAGAATATTATCGCCTTCATTTCGGGACATTGCTCCTAGTACTGTCGGCGAAATTAGACAACAGGGCGAGGAATTGGGTTATCAGGGGCAGATTTAGATAAATATGTCCGTTCTACATTTAAACAAATGCAAGACCAAGAACGAACTGAACGTTTGGCTCAGAGAGAAAGGGACCACAAGGAACGTTTGGCTGAAAGAGAAAGCCAAGCGTGTTTGGTTGAAAAAGAACTGGAACTGACAAGGCTAAAAATGTAGATTGTCCCGTTTTGAACATTTCCATCTGAATCCAAAACCTCTCCCTTTTCAATTAAAATTAAAGCCCCTCCTGATTTTGTGCAAGGAGATGACATGGATGTGTATATAAGGCGTTTTGAAATATTTGCTAATAATTGCCAATGGAGCCAAGATGTATGGGGGGTCGCATTTAGTGGGCAGTTGTCGGGGAAGGCATTGGCTATATATAATGCATTGGATGTTGAGCAGACTAAGAATTGGGCGAGCGTGAAATGCGCTATGCTAAAAGCATACAATCTTACCGAGGAAGGGTATAGGGAAAAATTTAGACAATCTAGACCTGCTAAGTTTGAAACGGCTACCCAATTTGTCGTTAGGCTAAAACATTATTTGGCACGATGGGTTGAACTGTCTGTCATTGAAAATACAGTGGAGGCATTAATAGATTTAATTGCACAGGAGCAATACCTGTCCACTTGCAGTTACGAAGTTGTGATGCATGTCAGAGAGCATACGTGCAATACTGTGGGTGAGATGGCTACCTGTGTTGATCGTCGTGATGAAAGTCGACACTACACTGGTATGAACCATAAAACACCGCGTGTAGAAAAACCATCCAAAAATACAAGTCAGTTACCCAGTCGTGCACAGGGATTAGAAGTGACAGGGGGTCAACAGTCAAAATGTAAACCAGTATGCCATCGGTGTGGTAAGCTGGGGCACATGAAGACTAAATGCTGGTCAACACGTGATGCTAAAGACAACATATAGACAGTTGGGGCATGCATGAATACTCGTAGCGTCCTTAATGCCTCATCTGACAAATCTACTGTGGCTAATAGGGCAAGTACCTCGGTGCTGATCACCGAGGGCAAACAGATGCAAATGACTAAAATTGGAGATGACAAGGTCCTGTCTGTGCCTGCTATGATGGGGATTGTATCAGTGAGGTGGCTGAGACTACATCCATGCCTATTGCAGTGGGCACAGTGAATGGTCATAAGGTGAGTGTTCTCCGTGACACTGGTTGTAGTGGGGTAACAGTACAAACTAGTTTGGTGCACCCATCGCAAATGAGTGACGAGGAGGGCACTTGCATACTAATTGACGGTTCTAGAATTAGAACAGGTATAGCAGAGTTGGAAGTCCAAACGCCTTACTACACTGGACCTGTGAGAGCACTCTGTTTCAAATCTCCAATATGGGACCTGGTTATCGGTAACATAGAGGGCGCTAGGGAACCCTTTAACCCCGACCTAGGTCAAGATGGAGGTCGAACATGGTGAACAATCGTTATTTGTATAGAGGAACCCCATGTAATGAAACAGTGCCCGAGTTACAGAGACACAATAAGGCAGGGAGGCAGTTTCATGCCCCCATAAGGCCGGGTGTCCAAGGCAAGGCGTGCAACGGTCAGAGCCAGAGCCCTGACAACGGTCAGAGCCAGAGCCCCGACAACGGTCAGAGCCAGAGCCCCGACAACGGTCAGAGCCAGAGCCCCGACAACGGTCAGAGCCAGAGCCCCGACAACGGTCAGAGCCAGAGCCCCGACAACGGTCAGAGCCAGAGCCCCGACAACGGTCAGAGCCAGAGCCCCGACAACGGTCAGAGCCAGAGCCCCGACAACGGTCAGAGCCAGAGCCCCGACAACGGTCAGAGCCAGAGCCCCAACAACGGTCAGGGCCAGAGGGAGATGGAAATAAGGTCACATGCCCTTACTGATCATGGTGTTAATCGCGGGGAAATCCTAACTTGTGGGAAGATAAGAAATGAATATTCTACTCAAACCC